ATCCTAGAAGTTAAAATGGTTTCAAAATCATTCGATGTCCCTCCAAAAGAAGACAATATTCTCATAATAAATATGGACATAAGGTGAAGCATTATTTTGGGAGATAAACATAGCCTGTATCTCTCTAGCATTCATTAAATCAAACGAATTAACTTAGTTGATTTTTTTTACAACCCCATATGAATTCAATCTTTTACTAAACAAATGATAAATATTGTTGTTTTATTTTTTTTGTTCCATATTAAGTCATGTTGATTTAGAGGCAACACTTTGCTATAACAATTGATCATATTTTACTACTTTTGATTTAACATATTCATCTCTTTGATAATCAGGCATATATGTAATGTTCAAATAATTCCTACCACTTATTGATACGATTTTATTTTATAAGAATATAGTTATTATTGAATGTAGACATATAAATCTGAACCTTGTGGTAGTCATGCTATAGTCGTCGAGATTCACAGCCTATGATTTCAATCAAATTGCTTGTTTATTTATTTTGTTAATTACTCCAACTTTTTATCATATTTTTAGTTGATAGAATGATGCATCCTTAGGTTATACTTAATAAATCTAGTGCAGGATGTTCGAAGCTCTTAGGTTTCTCAACTCTAAATTTGGATGAGATGCCCTAATACTGTTCTAGAGCTCTTAGAAAGTGTTTGTGAAGCAACTTTGATGGGGAGGTGGTGGAGAAATAGTTAGGGGATGAAAAATATGGGTGATCAATGATATTTGGAGAGGGATAGACGACGGTCGACAGTTGTCCTTGCTGAAAATAGCGAGTGGATGATGAAACAATGTGGTACAGAGATCGAGGAGATTCAACCATCTATTAAGCAAGATACAAACTCACCACTTGTAAAATGAAGAGATAAAACACTTCTTAGAGCAAAAAATAGTGCCATAATCTCAAAATATGCTAACACAACAAAAGGTCCCCTAACAGCAAAAAAAGCACACATAATTTGTCTCGTAAAAACAAGAACCTTAATTTGAAATAACGAAATAGGAAGTAACCTAAAAAAAAGAGAAGGAAAGCACAAGATATATGTTGAAATCGTTAATTGAGTGAAAAAGTTTTCCCGCAATCGTGAGACTCTTTAGTTCCCGTTTGGGAACTCTACAAAACCGTAGGATCTCGTTGATTCCACGCCTTTGTGGAACCTAGCGGAAGTGTAAAGCTATAATGTCGTTTTCCTCAATTAGGAGACGGTTTTTCTTCTTCCCTTGAAGCTTTTGGAATCGATTTATCATAATCATAACAAAGACATTGTCTTGTTGTATCGACGATAACTCCATTGCAAATGCTATGCTCATGTTCATTTCATGCAATGCTAAAACATGTACTTCCTTTAAAAGATAGTGCCGATAGAATAAATAATCACATTTTTTGGCACAACTTGAGCTAGAACTGCCCATCCATAGATGGGTATTCTCACAAACTAAATTTTGAGCCATTTAATATATAATATGCTTCTCACACTCATACTTGGCTGGGGGCACCAAATAAACAAGTATGTCTGAAAAAATTAATCCCATAATGAAATTTGTGATATGTTGGACCACTCTCAGTAGCAACCATCTGGGAGGTAAATTGCCAGTCAGGTTATTTGGCAATTCCTAGAACAAGAGTTGCTCTTTTTCAGATATTGTCTTCTCGAACTCGCTTGTATCATTGTATATTTCCTTGAATACTCCCAACTCAGTGAAGGAGATTATCCTTTTGTTTAGGTAATCTGATGGAATGTGTCCAAAGTTGTGCCACTTAAAGCATTTTTTTTGTTGGGATGGATTTATGACCACCGGCAATCTCACCTTTTCTTTATTTTGTATGGGTTTCTCCTCTGGTAGGATCAGCTTGGGTACTCCACTAGGTGTACTCTTGCTGCCAGATCCGATAACAAAATTTTTTTTGAAGGGTGGTGTGAACCTGATATTGTTGTGTTGTCTCTCTACCTTTAGGGCTAGGGGCTCGACATTTTATAATGTTCAATAGGGTTGTAATTATACAATGTTGCCAATAGATGATCTCAATCATTCAAAATAACCGGCTATGGTGTTCTTCTCAAGCTTTATTAGCTCACAGTTCAATATAAGCTTCTTGAACTTAGCTGTGTATTCCTCTATTAAAAGATTATGTTGTTGTAAGTGACGAAACCTCATGAACACGTCATTTTTGTTATGTCCTAGTAAATACTTATGCTGCATCTCTCTTTTTATCTTAGACCAGGTAGTGATTTTATTATTATTTTTCACGCTGGCGTAGGGACTTCAAATTTTCCATCATAAGGAAGCATTCTTTTTTATCTTAATAGTGCTTAGCTTGACCAGTTCTATTGTCGAGAGTCATTCAATGAACTTGTTTGAATCAATTAGACCGTCAAAATTAAGCAAATCATTTTTCACTTTAAAATTTTGGCTTCTCTAATATTCCATGCCTAATTTTAATGGTACTGGATCTTCATCACAACAAACTGCTTGGTGACTTTTCTCGATCTGGTAATCCACCTTTGTGATTTTGGGTGACCTCTTTGAGCTATCTTATCTTAAGGACGGCAAGCCTTTCTTGTAGTTCAAAGTTTTCTCACTGCATAGTAAGCTCCTCTACACCTCTTTGCAGATTTCTCCTAGGCGGCATTGTGTCTTTTTTTTTCAATAAAAATTTTTGATGGGTGTAGGATTAGTTGATAAAAGGTTTGTCGAAGTAAAGGGTTTTGGTGGTAGTTGTCAGGGCAGATTTTTTGTGGAGGTAAAGCTATTGAATTTTAAAAATTGTGTTAAGGCTAGGAAGTACTGTAGGAATGGATAGGATATGGTAGAGATTTTTCTTTCTCTCTTTTTTTTTTTTTTTGTGATTTTTGATTAGGGATATTTCTCTTTTTTTTTTTTTTTTGTGATTTTTGATTAGGGATAAATTTATAGAAACATAAAACCCTAAAAATATAGGATTTGTTTGACTTTGATACTAGATAATACCGTTTTAGGGTTTCTAGAAAGTGTTCGAGAAGTTGTTTTGATATGGAGATAGTAAAGAAATAATAAGGGAATGAAAATATAGGCGATCGATGATATTTGGAGTGGGATAAACGACGTTCGGTGGCCGTCGCGCTTGAAAATAGAAAGGCGGACGACAAAATGACATGGTACAGAGGTCAAGAACCACTTGTAAAAGGAACAGGCTACAATACTCCTTAGAGAATAAAATAGAGATACAATCTCCAAAATATACTAACACAACTAAAGGCTTCCAAACAACAACAAAAAAACACACGCAGAAATAGTCTCCCAATAACAAGTACCCTAATTAGAAATAATGTGATAAGAAGAAACCCGGAAAAAGAAAGAAAAATTAAATGAGAGGAAAGCAGTTATGTTGAAAGAGTCAATTGGGGGGTGCAAAAATTACCCTCAATTGTGGGACTCCTTAGTTTTCGTTCGGGAACTCAACGGGTTGCGGGATCCTGTTGATTCTGCTCGTTTGTGGAACCTAGCGGAAGTGGAGAGCTCCCGCATCATCCACAAGACACAACAAAAGGCAAATTTGCAGCCCATGCATTTTTTGTTCAGACAAAGTCATTATTTATGCGTGATGAAAATCATAAAACACAAAATTTGTTCTACAAGATAATATAATGCCCATATAATAAAAGATTGCATAGAAATATAAGATCATAAAAAACCACATTGAAATCAATAATCCATTGCAATTGAAAACTCTAGATTGTAACAGATTTTAAAAAAAGTAGTAATGGTCATAACCATCGACTTTGTATGTAGAAAAAAAACAAGGAAATAAGATACCAATTAATATCCAAGTTTTATAACAATAGAAAGGATATAACTTTCCCGAAAATTGACAGTTAACACTTGCAGCCCACTCAAAGATTTTGTCATACAAGCACACGATTTAGAGAGGAAAGACAATTTTTTTTTTTTAACCAACCAACTATTTTTACATTGTACATTGGATTGTAGTTATAATCATTTAATTTTCAAAATAAGTAATCCTTAATTTCCCAAAAATTTATCTCACATGGACAACATAGGATAAGCCTACCAAAACCTATTGTTGACAGCGTTTGCAGAGGGTAAAATCAAGAAATCTCGTGAAAATGGAAAACAACCTATCCATAAATCATGAGGCTTCTTCCAGAAATCAGGACTCACAAGTATAGTGGATGTTAAGGTGAAACGGCTGCACATAAGGTACAAGTACAATAACACTCCCAAGGTAGAAGTAGAGCTACTTAAAGCCAGAAACTGAATGCCCAGATCATTAACCATTCAAAGGGTCCAACCATTAATCAACAGAGATCGTTGGATCAATCATAGAACTGCTTAACAAATCTGAGAAACTAACCAAGGAATTAGTGAACAGTGAACCAAAACTAGCATAGTAAAGAGCACAATCTCTTTGTGATAGGAATCATGATAATATGTTAGTTCTCTCTAAAACAAAATGTTAACACAGAAAATAAAATAACTAATGTAAACCAAATTAAATAAAGAAAAAACATAGATCATTAAATTGCTTGCTCACACATTTGTGTTTCACACATGCATAACTTATGGATTTTTTTCGTATCATAACTACGCTTCCTTTATGAAGATTAAGTTTTTTATTTAAATAGTTTCTTTTGCCATATAGTTACTGCAGGCAGAAGGGATAATTTTTTGATATGGACTGATACTGCCACCTTATAGAGTGAGCATCTGATATGGACTATATTACTTGCTTTGAAGATGAGCATTAGAAACTACATTGTAATGGCATGGTTCCCAACAACTAACGTCCCTTTGGTATTGCATTGTTTTTTTCTGCATATAAAGTCATAATAAATAAATTGTTCTCTTCGCTCTTGTATAATCTGCTTATTTCTAGTTTGATTGATTGGAAATTTGAATCTAATATTGCTGTCATATAGCATGCCATAGTTCAATTTTTCTTTGTAACTTAGTGTGCCACTTATAAATTGCTAATTTCTTGGCAGTGACATTTACTCTCCTGGGGGAGAAAACCACTGTTATGTCTCCTGAAGTGCTTATAGATGCGGGAATTCCATGCTGCAGGTGCTATTCAGTTAAGACTTTCATAAGTTTATCATTTATTTTGGCATGACTTTTTCAATCTATAATTGATGAATTTAATTTATGAGATGCAGATTGGTTCAAAATGCTGGAGAGTTTGTTGTCACTTTCCCTGGATCATATCATTGTGGATTTAGCCATGGTATGCATCAATTATTCACTATTATTTGCTTCTCTACTACTTTTTGGATATATTTAAGATGGTCCTTTCCCTGTTAGTTCACAGCATAAAAAATGGTTTTCAAATAAAAGTAATTATTTTTTATCTGCAAAGCATTAAGTTATTTTTTTTCCAAAGCCTATTTGAAATAAACCTTGCTTTCCTTGTAGCTCCTTCTTGTGCACTACATGTATGTTGCTTTCTTGATCCACTAGCTAAAAGTTTAACTGCTATTATTTTCTTCACGTGGCACCCAATAGGTATGAATCTTAAAAGAGGATTCATAAAGATGACAAGTATTTGGGATAAGGATTAAGATACTGTCGCTGGAGATGATGATGAATATAAAGAACTTCCAGCACTTCAATATGCATTAGGAAAACTGGATTACTCTTAGGCCTTCTGTTTGATATATTGTGCTTTTTCACATGAAAAAAAATCATCATGAAATGTTTTATTATATCTCTCTAGGAAAGTATCATTAAATTCTGGTGGTAGTTCTGTTCAGTAACAATTATTACGTCGATAAAAAGAAAAAAAATAAATCCCATGGTCCTTTTTCTCGAAATAAGGTTTGCTCAATATTAATAATATAGTAAGGGGTATTTTGATTATTTGGATTAACTGGATGTGGTAAATTACAATTTATGCTGGGTTGCACTGGGTTTTTGCATGATATTGAACTCAAGGGATAAAAGATATGAAAAGAAACTAATCATCATCCAGACTTTATGCATAAGCTCCCTAGATATGAAAAATGAACAGTCCTTAAGTATAAGCTATTTAGAAATAATAAACTATGCAATGTTTGAGGTTGGCAATTTGCTTGCCTTTTATATAGCTACAGCCGGCACGAGGCATTATTCTTCTTACATTTTGAATATCAAGTAATCTCTTAGGGTGTAGTTGGGGTGGCGGTGCGATTCCACACTGCAGTTTTCTGCATTTCTCCACCAGACCTAGCTACCTACGGTGGCTACTAGAAAGTTGCAGTCCGACTTTTTCACAAAAAAAAAAAAAGTAATTGTCATCACAGCTTTTTGAACAACTTTTTTTTTAGCAGTTTCATAGTTACTTCAAACAGCTGCAGTTGCTCCAAACAGACCCTTAGTAGGCCATTTCCGAATGAAATTTCAAGCCATCTATTTCCAGCAAAATTTCTATCCAGAAACACTGAATTAATGTAGGCTAGTGTGCTTCCCAATGAATTTTATCAGTTAAATCGGATTTTCTAAGCAGCGATAGAATAACAATAAAATGCCTTCAATTTCTCAAGTATAAAGCTCCTCATTATCTTGTGATTTGTGCTTGCTGAGAAGAGTATATTTAGTTTTTTTTTTTTTTTCTTATATTGAAAACTCTAACATTCTTGATCAGGTTTGAAGGACATGTTTCAGTGATTTTTAGTCCATCAGAATTATCTGTTAGAATTTGCTCACTTTTTTCTGTTACTGAAAACAATTAATTTAATTGTTAATCTTAGAGTAATTTTGTCAATGTAGTTTGTTTGATTGCCTAGACAACAAAGTCATCTGCTTTTATCCTAGTTGAGAAGTTTAATTAAAAATTTTGATCTCGTGGGATTTGTTTTTTGTTTACTCTGTGAATTTTGATGTCCAATATGGTATTTGTTAATGGTAAATTGTACTGGGATTTCTTTCACAATTCTTGAGTTGCTGGTGTGTTAAATCAAAGAAATTCTTCATTCTGCTCTGTTGTGCCATTCCTCTTGTCACGAACTCAATACTAAAATCAGGGCTGGTACACAGCCAAATGGTCTTGTGTGTTAAATTTTAAATTCCCTTCTACTTGTTCATATAAGTTCCTTAAGTTTACTTCTATCTTCTCTGTATTTTAATTTTTCTTTTTCTGGATACACCTGAGTAACATTTGCAATTGTGGATTCAAATTTCTTTCTGTTTGTAGGATTTAATTGTGGTGAGGCAGCAAATATTGCTACTCCTGGATGGTTAAGAGTAGCAAAAGAAGCTGCAATTCGGAGGGCATCCACTAATTATCCACCCATGGTGTCTCATTTTCAGTTGCTCTATGCTCTGGCACTGTCGTTGTGCTCAAGGTTTGCACTGAATAGTGGTAGCTGCTGTCCTTAGTAACAAACTAGTGTTTATTGTAGTTCCATCTATAAATGAATGTATTTTTTATGTATAAATTGATTGTTTAATATGGGTATTGTTTTCCTTGCATAGAATGCCTATATGTGGAAATAATGAGCCAAGGAGTTCAAGACTAAAAGATAAGTTGCAAGGTGAAGGAGAACTCATGGTTAAAAAAACTTTTGTTCAGAGTGTTGCTGAGACTAATGAACTTTTAAGCTGTCTACTTGAGAAGGGATCCTCTTGCATTGTTCTTCCACAGAATACATCAGATAGTCCTTTATCATCAAATTCTCTTGTCAGATCTAAAGTAAAGCTTAAACCAAGATTATCACTTGGGCTGTGCAGTCGAGAGGAAGCATTGAAAGCATCCAGAGCCTTACCTTGTGATGATGTAATGCAGGAAAGGAACACTGGGATGAAACATTTAAGTGGTTTTGGTTCTCTAAAAGGAAACTCTGTGGCTGTGTACCACAGAAAAAAGCATTCTGCAGCGTCAAACAACAAATCTGTAACGACTGAGGCTGCATCTTCCATGCTTGAGTTGCAGAATTTAAAAGAGGAGAAAGATAGTAATCTTGAAGGTGATGGGCTGTTGGATCAGGGACTTCTATCATGTGTTACATGTGGGATATTAAGCTTTGCCTGTGTAGCTGTTGTTGAACCAAGAGAAGCTGCGTCTAGATACCTGACTTCTTCTGGTTGCAGCTCTCTTTTTGACCAGAGTTTTGGTTCTGGAGAAATTAATGATGTAGCCCTTGACACAAAATTGCAGCGTAGCGACGACTGTTTAGGTAATGCACCTAAAATTTTGTTTGTTCATTTTCCTGTCTTATTGAACATTTATCTTTTTATATTTCATATTCTATTATTGTGTCAATAACATTACTTTTTTAATGGATATATAGTGAATGCTAGCGGATTATATCGAACTTATCTTTCTCATGCACTATAGGATTCTTCTGTATTATGGTTCTGTAAATGCATCATGAATTAATGTATTACTATGATTTTGAAATTTTATTCTCATTGTACGTTTAACTTATTGAATGTAGTGCTTTCACTTTTCAATTGCAATCAGATGAAACTCAAGCTCTTCTACATATTTAATATTGCATAGATGGAAAATGCCACCTTGATGAGCCAGGATAAGCCGTCGTCGAAGTAGCGCAAGCAGGGATTCCCCCCTTTTTTTTTTTGGCCGGCCACCCTGCTCCAGCTGGCCGGCTCCTTGGGTCGACCACAAACCCCTTGGGTCGGCCACCAACCCCTTGGGTCGGCCACCAGCCCCTTGGGTCGGCTACCAGCCCCTCGGGTCAA